TGGGGCTCCCAGGGGGGGATATCTAACATGTGGCCGTCGGGGCCCCCCAAAATGGGGGAGGGGGGCCACAAGAGCAGGAAAATCAACGAATCGACACCGGATGTGTATTAACTTGACACGTTCTGATAGGGGCCTCCTGGGGCCTCCTGGGAGCCTCCTGGGAATCTCCTGGGGACCCCTGGGGCCTGTCCTGGGCGTCCTGCGGCCTCCTGGAGCTCTCTGGGGCCTCCTGGAAGCCACATGTGGTCTTCTGGGCCCCCAGGCTGGACCACCTCTTGCGCAGCATCTGAGAGCTCAGAGTTGCGAGAATGTCTTGTGCGAAACGGGCCGGACCACCTTGCGCACGGCATCTCAGAGCTCAGAGTTGCGAGGATGTCTCAGGCGAGATGGGCCGGACCACCTCGCGCAGGGCATCTCGGAGCCCAGAGTTGCGAGGATGTCTCCAGCGTGACGGGCTGGACCACCTCGCGGCGCGGCATTTCGGACCCCAGAGTTGCGACGATGTCTCGGGCGAAACGTGCTGCGAGGAAGTCTCAGGCGAAACGGGCCGGACCACCTCGAGCGTGGCGTCTCAGAGCTCCGAGTTGCGTGGGCCTCCTGGGGCCTCCTGGGACCTCCTGGTGACCTCCTGGGGCTTCCTCCTTGGCTTCCTGTGGCCTCCTGGACCCCACCTGGGGCTTCCTGAAGCCTCTTGGGGTTCCCAGGAGGGATATCAAACCTGTGGCCGTCGGGGCTCCCCAAAATGGGGGAGGGGGGCCACAAGAGCAGGAAGAATCAACGAATCGACACCGGATGTGTATTACCTGGACACGTTCTGATAGGGGGCCGCCTGGGGCCTCCTGGAATCTCCTGCGGACCCCTGGGGCCTGTGCTGGGCGTCCTGCGGCTTCCTGAAGCTCTCTGGGGCCTCCTGGGGCTCGCAGGGTCCCAGGGGGGATATGTAACATGTGGTCTTCTGGGCCCCCAGGCTGGACCACCTCTTGCGCAGCATCTGAGAGCTCAGACTTGCGAGAATATCTTGTGCGAAACGAGCCGGACCACCTTGCGCACGGCATCTCAGAGCTCAGAGTTGCGAGGATGTCTCAGGCGAGATGGGCCAGACCACCTCGCGCAGGGCATCTCGGAGCCCAGAGTTGCGAGGATGTCTCTAGCGTGACGGGCTGGACCACCTCGCGCGCGGCATCTCGGACCCCAGAGTTGCGACGATGTCTCGGGCGAAACGTGCTGCGAGGAAGTCTCAGGCGAAACGGGCCGGACCACCTCGAGCGCGGCATCTCAGAGCCTAGAACTTCGAGGATGTCTGATGCGAAACGGGCCAGACCACCTCTCGCGCCGCATCTGGGAGCTCAGACTTGCGAGGACGTCTCAGGCGAAACGGGCCGGACCACTCCTCGCGCGGCATCTGGGAGCTCAGAGTTGCGAGGATGTCGCAGGCGTAACGGGCCGGAATACCTCGCGCACGGCAACTCAGAGCCCAGAGTTTGGAGGACGTCTCAGGCGAAAAGGGCCAGAAGACCTCGCGCGCGGCATCTCGGGGCTCAGAGTTTGGAGGATGTCTCAAGCGAAACGGGCCAGACCACCTCTCGCGCGGCATCAGAGAGCGCAGAGTTGCGAGGATGTCTCATGCGAAACGGGCCAGACCACCTCGCGCACGGCATCTCGGAGCCCAGAGTTGCGAGGAAGTCTCTAGCGAAATGGGCTGGACCACCTCTTGCGCGGCATCTCAGAACTCAGAGTTGCGAGGATGTCTCAGGCGAAACGGGCTGGACCACCTCTTGCGCGGCATCTCAGAGCTCAGAGTTTCGAGGATGTCTCAGGCGAAATGGGCTGGACCACCTCTTGCGCGGCATCTCAGAGCTCAGAGTTTCGAGGATGTCTCAAGCGAAACGGGCCGGACCACCTCGCGCACGG